TTCCAGAGTGTTGTTCAGCATGGGGGTGAGTAGAAAATGAAGGCTAATCATGTTTTGGGTGTACTATTCCTTTAAATGTAGCAACGTAAAACTACTTAGGTTAAAATTTACTCAAGTAAAAATTACTCCTAAAAAGTACTCAATTACAGTAACTTGAGTAAATGTAATTCATTGCTTTCCACCCCTGCCCAGATGTAGCTGACCTTCAGTAAAGTAGCTTCAGTTTGACTAACCATCAGCCCGCCGCCGCGTTTGATCAGACTAAACCTGAAAGACAGCAACTTGTGGATAAGTGAGAAAGTACCTTAAATTCTCACTGTGAGTGTCTGAAAAACCTTAGATGGATGCAGGCAGTGAAGCTGCTTTCTCTTTTGCGTTTTTGTAATGCAAACCAGCTTACAGACACCAACAGTCGTTAAATGATCAGGTTGTTCAGTGCTTGGGTACGTGTGATCTGGATTCTTTTGAAGAGGATTTAGATTTATTTACCAGTCTGACCTGTTTAGCTTGGGATGCTTCTTCATTATGACCTGATGCATTAATATTTGCGCTGAAACACTCTGTTCTGGTATTTGTGTTTTCTTTCCCATGACTGCAGCTGAAGCGTCGCTCTCATAGTGTTAAATTTCCAAACCCTGCCTTGTTTTCCAACAGACCACCTGGTGGCCCACGGGCGCATGGCGGAAAAGGACGCCAGGAAGAAGTTCAAGCAGATTGTGGCGGCGGTCCATTTCTGCCATTGTCGCAACATCGTCCACAGAGACCTGAAGGCCGAGAATCTGTTACTGGACCACAACCTGAACATTAAAATAGCAGGTTGGTGTGTTCCTGGAGAGGGATTTCTTGGCAAGCAAACGTTGGCCTGTTCTTTTGGATCGTGTTCCTGTTTGTTTTTTTTAAGCTGCCTGGTGGTATGATTTTATTTTTTTTCCTCTGAGAACAGATTTTGGCTTCAGCAACATGTTTTCCCGAGGCCAGCTGTTGAAGACATGGTGTGGCAGCCCTCCTTATGCAGCTCCTGAGCTGTTTGAGGGGAAAGAGTATGATGGACCCAAAGTAGATATATGGGTAAGGGCGTCGACTAAACTAAAGGAAAATCCAGAGGCCATTTCCTTGCACTCATACCTCGTCTTTGTCCGCGCAGAGCTTAGGCGTGGTGTTATACGTGCTGGTGTGTGGCGCCTTACCCTTTGATGGCAGCACTCTACAAAACCTACGAGCTCGAGTCCTCAGTGGAAAGTTCCGCATCCCTTTCTTCATGTCCACAGGTGGGGGTTTATTTCTACCAGGGGATTCAAAAGACACACTATGGTTGTTTGAACTTTGTCATGTTTTAAACACAAACTTGAATGAATTTCATTGTGATGAGAGGGATGGGTAAAAGTTTTTTTAGATGTTAAAAACTAAAACCTAATTTTTTCTGATGCTCTTATATTAGATTCAGTCTGCCAGTTCAACTTCATATTTCACCAACTTCATTATAAATACAGCTGAGCTGTGAAGGTCAGAGGAGAGAAAGCAGCATAATGAAGACCAGGACATAGAGGGCCGGGCAGGAAAATGTTTAAGGAGACATTAAACGTGAACAAAAGTCCTTCTATCCTGCAGCTTTAAATGCATCCCTTCTCAAACATGCCTGAATCCAGTAAAAGGCTCGGTACCGGGCCTTTGGAGAGCTGAACCAAAAGGCTGCAGGGTAGTAACTCTCAGGAAATGGACTTCTTTACATCCAATCCTTTGTGTTCTGAGTGCTTCTGTCGAAGACCTAAGATCCATCCCAAGAAGTGAATCAGCTGAAATGTTTGTCTTTCCATCTAGTGGTGCCTCAAAGGTACCAAATATGAAACAATATAAATTATATTTTATATAAATTTAACATTCGTACTAATTTAATACTTATTCTATTGACAAACTATCTGATACTCAAATTAAGGGTAAATACACTTTATTTAAGAAATGTTTACTATTTTCTAGATTGTTTTTCCAGTGTATTAACCAAACACTCCACATCTACACTAAAACAATTATCTAGAAATAAGTAAAAAAAATTTTAAATTAAGTGTATTTACCCTTAATTTGAGTAGTTTACTTAGATAGTTTGCTGATGGAATGAGTATTTTTACTCTTAAAATAAGATAATTAGATAATATGCACTTGAAATAAGAAAATGCAATTCTGTTTTCTTATTTTAATTGTAAATTGTCTTGTTCCATAGTCAAGATGTCTCTTTTACCTCCTCAATCCAAGAACAAATGCATTTATTTACTTAACTAGATTTTGATTTTTTCCAGTGTATGTGATAGAAATGGTTTGTTACTCTAAGCTCAGCTGACGGTGACAGAGTTTTCTCACATTTAGTAAATATGCAAGCATTAAGGACGACAGTGATAACCATGATGCTTAGAAAAATAATCAAATGAGGATTTTGGAAAAGAGAAAATTAGAATAAAGGATGTAAATATATTACTTTTAACCTGTTTTTTTCTCCAATAGAGGTGGGTTGACAGGATTGTGTTAACCTGCAGCTTCTTCTGTCTCTCTTGTTGTTTTTAAAATAAATGTACAAAAAAAAAAAAAGAAATATTTTGACGCAAATTCAAACACTTATTTCTTGCATGATGATCTTAGTAAATAAAAAATTAATGATGATTAAAATGGACTATTGTCTGGACACAAGTTTGAACAGTTGGAAACAGGAAGTGGTCCACATGCTTGGAAATTACAGATGATATTAAAATATCTAGTTTGATGCTGTCGTTTGTTTTTGCTTGATTTTCATTTTTTTTATTCATTTCAGGCAATATGTTTTGACAGAAAACAAAAAGATGACCACACACATAACTGATCATCTTATCACAAAGAAAATGGCCCTAGTCATGTAACAAGACAAAATAAATTCAACTTGCCTGAAAGGCAGTGGGAAGAGGCCAACTTATTAAATCCCATGATTAATGATTAATGCATTTAGTAGTAAGGAAGCTCTGTGCTAAGCTATGGGTGAGTCAGAGGGGGCAATATGGCTGTGACTACACGTTTGAGAGAAAAAAAGTTGTTTACCACCAGTTCTTGTTTTTATCTTGTTCAAAAACAGTTTTTACTGTCAGAGATGTAAAGTTGTACAAACTAAGGCATACTCAAGGTTCTAAGTTGTTATTTTTCATCCTTTAAAAATACTAATAAAATAAAAAAAACTTTCAATTTATGTTATGTAGCCTCGTAAGACCATCCTGATCTCGCGAGCTTTCAAGGTTTCACTCGCAGATCAGTCTGGAGACTCTCCGTTAAAGAAAATTTGGAGCCGTTCACCAAACGAACGTCCAATCAGCGTTGGCTTTGAGGCG